GTCGCTTGCATTTTCATGTTCTGACCGGCTGATGCGGAACAGAATACTCATCGCTGCTCATTACTGAGTCACAAACAATACTATTTATACAACATGATTTTGGGTCATTATCCTAAAGTATAACACACAACTTAAAATGCATACCATATAGTTCCTATGGATACAAACAAATTCAAGAACACAAAACAGAGCAAACCAAACCCATCTGACCAACCCATAAAACATGAAAGACAAGAACACTAAAAAGCATATTGCTTCAAACATGAGTGTCCTCTACTGCAAGCACATAAGAGCTTCGATATAATACCCAAACAGAACACAGAGGCAGAGGTCCACAGTCAATCACATCACATGATAAAAAAAACATGATCAATCAATGCCGTTCTGCTTGCAATCGAACTACAGACTAAACGAAGTGGAGAGACTAAAGGGTAAGGTAAGAGATTTGAGAGTCAAAAACAAAGTTTCAGAACCAATCTCAACCTTACAGTGTATACAACAATATCCTTGAGTCAAAAACGAAGTTTCAGATCCATCTTTTATTCTTTGCGAGTCACAACTATAGCGTCTATACATTGATCTTTAGCTATATGAAAACAGGACAAAACTGTAGAAGCTAAATTACAAAGAAGTGTTTTTTTAATCCTGCGGTGGTTTATCGTTTCTATTCTTGTTTCCATAAATCAAACCAGTAACCTGCAAATTTTCATAAAAGAAGATATTTAAGAAGCAAAATACAAAGTGAAATCGCAAATGGATTCATGTTCGAAAGTTGACCTGAGGATCAGCGATTGGCTTCCTCTTCTCGACGTATTGATTTGTATCAGCCACTGCGAGAGCTGCCCTAGCCTAATCAAACCCAGGAATCGAAACTGAGAGATGAAATCTGCATAAAGATTGACCTTTTTAGGTGAGGGTAAGAAAATGGGTACCTGTTGTTCCTTTTTGAGATCGAGAGATGGTTTGACCCAGAGAAAGTAAGCAATTGTTCCGGCGACGGCCCAAGAAGCGAGATTTTGTCCTCCTCGGAGACCTCCCATGGAGTTTCCGACGAAAGACCTCACGTTCCGCATCGATCTTCTCCAGCTACTAGCCATTGATGCCTTTGGATTTCTCCGATTTGGGATTTAAAAGCAAAACAGCAAATTTGATTTTGATTCGGATTGCTTTGCTTTTGCTTGGTGCCCACTGCGAAACAAAACCGGTCGCCTAGACGGTTTAGTGATTGAGATCATGCGGCTCTAATTGCTCCACGTAGAATTACGAGATTCGATCTAATTTATAATATGGATTGGGCCGGATAAAACTGTCATCTCATAGTTGGCCCATTGTAATAGTAGAAAACAGAAGAAAGAAAAAATTTAGAATAAAACATTTTCGAACAACTATAGTGGTTGAAAATCTAGAATATCAAAATATTATGGTGATTGTTATTGTTGCATATGTTGTACCGAATATGAAATAAGTAACCATGAGGTTTTCACCTATTAAAAAGTGGAAGACCTTTAGAGACTAAGTGATTCACCCACACATATATTATGTTATCCTAAAATTCAACTTCGAGATAAATTTCAATACCTTCTCTCAATCCACAATGATACCATATTCGAGATAACTCGCTTATTACCATTTTAGATATATTGGAGATTATGAAAAAATCCGCAATGATCTTCTCTTCAACAATATAACTCGTATATTACCAGTGTGGATACTTTGGAGATTATAGAAAAGCAAACAAGGTGGACATTGATGCAGTGTAAACTTTGAAACGTGCGAGAACGAACACGACAAAATGGTTTCAACCAATGTTGGAATCGGGGAATGTTATATCAAGCGAATTACATTTCAATATTCAAGCTCAAAATATGGCGCATCATTGAAAAAACCACCAATTGGTTGAAAGAAATGTAATTATGACATTCTTCATTATGATTGAGACATAGATTCATGTGTGAAACGTATCATACATAATTCACATAACATTTTTCTGAATGATGGAATGGACAAGTATCAAGGACAGATGACAAGAAGAAATGCGGAATACTCCTCACTACTATGAGTACTCCAATCAACATGGTCGCTAGGATGTCATGTGGAAGGAGATAATCTCACAATTAACCAACTCATAAACACCAAAGGATTCAACCTTCGATTGCAACATTACATCGATGCTATCCACAAGTGGTGCAAAATGTTCAATGCTATACGTTTTTCTTTCCGGCATCGAGATTCCAATATACGTGCTGATATTTTAGGTAGAAAAACAATTACTTCTAATTTTCAATGGTCATTGTTTAATTGCTGTCCAAGTTTTCTTACATCACCTGTTATATACGATGTTGATTCTGAAAATTAATGAAAGATTTAGACGAGAAACAGAAAAAAAAAATTGATTAAAACTTATTATTTAGAG